TTATTGATACTTGCAAGTTATACACAAAGCTAGACCTTGGCTCGTAGGTTTTCCTGGAGCTTAGCTGTTAGTTTTTACACAGTTTAACTACATGTTTAGACAAAAAAGTGCAAAAGATCTCTTTTGTAATTTTTCCACAAATTTTACTTCATACTACAACTATGATCTTTAGCTCAATATTTTAAGAAGACGTGAATTGAAACAAGAACAAATATTTCTAGAATATTTCTAAATATTCCTGTAGTTACTTTAGGAATTTATATATATTACATTCAAGATCAGATTTTTTTTATTCAGTCACGCAGTGGCTGGAGAGACTTAGGCACACCTACCAAATCTGATGCTTGGTTATTTATTGCTTTTCTTCCTGGTGTTCTCTTGCCTCAGTTTTATGAACAAAAGAATGTACCTGTCTGTGTGAGTGACTCCTTATTGCTGTTGGTTAGAGATACCCAAAGGGCACTTTTAGCCCCTGCAATCCTGCCCAAAGCTGCACCTCATCCAAGTGGGGAATCTGAAGAAACAGTAGCAGCAGAAGATATCTTTTTATAATTTTTTCATGAGACTATTTCTGCCCTCTGGCCCACTGATTTTCAAAGAACCTTTTAAAGTACAGTTCTGAGCCTGCTTTGAAAACTTGAAAATACATGATTTTCTGTAGTTAGTGTGGGACTTCCTTCTCTACTGTATTTCTTAGAAATCACAGTATTTAGATACTGATGAGACCAGAAAAGCAATATGGGGAGTACCATTCTCTTGAAGTGTGCATGTTAGCAGATATGGCGTGTTCAACTTTCAGACATGAATTCAGTTCTGCAGTTAAAAAACAAAGGAGAAAAACAAAATCAGTTTTGTCTCCTTCAGATGCATCAGGGAGTGATGTTCCAAAAATGGAAAGGAGAGGCTCGTGTCTCTTCAGAAGTCTGTGGAGCAACCTGAGTGTGCTTTGTAAGGGAACATAATCCGTTCTAGTCAAAGCATAGTAATTCTTTATACTTTCTGTACTATCAGTACTATCCCACATCATCCTTCAGCAGGGCTGTTTCTTAAATGCCATTTTTCAGAAGTTTGAAATTATTTCTTACTGTTGTTCATTAGGAGCCATTGACAGAGGAAGATGGTAACTACTGAAGAATAGCACAACTTGGCTAAATTGAAGGGCAAGAATTCTTTTAGTATGGGTGTTAGGTTGAAATTAACTTCAATCCATCCACTAAAAAGTTTTTAATTTCATTACACGTGCTCCAGAAATTAATTTCTTGTTTAGTATTCTTGACTGGCTCTGCTGTAGCTCCTTTTTGCATGCAAATTCAAAATGCATACAGCTTAATTCCTCATACTCGCTTCCAACCTCTAATTTATCACAATTGAATTACTGTTCTCGGGTTCACTGTGCAATTAGTGACTGCCTGTTTGAATAGATGCACCTTTCTCTTTCTAAAAGTCAGGCTGCTAGATTTTCTTTTCTGCAATCTAATTTGCTTGAAGGCAAATGCATTACAGATAATCATAGAATGGCAATGAAAGAGATGTGCTCAGTTCCTATTTTATCAGGCTACCTATGCTTGATGAGTTCTCCTATTACTTTGGTTGCTCTGTTTATGTTACTGTGACTTTTCTTCGAGGAGTGAATTCCTAGTTTGGATGGTCAGTAAGATAAAAGCCTTTCTTTTGTGTCTTATGAGCTGGTTGATAGGGTAGCAGACCTCGGAACCTTCTTGTGTGACTGCTATTTACTTGAATATCAAGTGCTTATCTTCTCGTGCTTCCTTCTGTGGCTTACCAAGAGAGTTTTTATTATCTTCAACCCAAACTACTTTATTTTAAAAGGCTGTTTTCCTCAAAGCTTTCAGTCAGAAAATAGGACCTGGAAACATATAATCTGTAATAAATCTCATCTCTTATATTGTATAGTTGCTTATGTGATTTGTGAACTTTTGATCACAAGGGTGAGGAGGTCTGGTTGTGTTACCTAAAATAGAGGTTACAGTATTTTCACAACAATTCTAATCTATACAGGAAAGCAAGCAACTCCTAAAGCCTTTATTTCCAATTAATATGGAGAAGGTGAAAGAGCAATTGAATTACAATGTGCTTCAGAGAAAGTAAAAAGAAAATTGCTTCTGTAAAAAAGTCTCTAGTATAATTTTGTCACTTGGCTGTTTGTACCTGCCATTTTGGCCCCATATATTAATCCTAGCAGATAACTATGTAATCACCATACTTTCTGTAGTAGGGGAAGAAATGAAATGAAAGCAATTGATGGAAAAGAAATGGAAATGCAATGTTATAAATAGTGAAGTACAAGAGAGTAAGAACTAGTAGTGAAATATGAACCAGTTTGACAAATTAAAGCAAATTTTAATAAAATTGGAAAAAGTGCAATCAGCTTTCGTGATACCTTAATGCCAGAAAGACATTGAAGAAAATCTTTGAAAATAGCTAGCTAATTCCAAAGCTTTGAGTCTTGGCTGTTTATTTCTTTCAAATATTGGATAATTAATTAGTTAATAATTACAGATTTAGGGGAGGTAATATGGTAATATGTATGATTTTTCTAATAACAGTTGCATATTTCATTGTTTTTGGGATTCTTATAAGGAAAAAGGATGGACTGGTTACTGTTTATAATATTTATAAAGTTTACGTTAATTGGCAGCAAACTAAGTGAATTTCCTCAGTCAAGGCTGCCTTGCCCATGTGACTCTAATTCCAGAAAGGATTGAAACACCACCATTACCTGGGCAGAAAAGAGCTGATGGAAAGGAAAACAATGGGGAGAAATATGGTAAAAGTTGTCCCTTGTGAGTGGTCAGTGGTCTCATCCACAAGAGTGGATCACTTGTTCAGTCTCACATAATGGAGGGAAACGTGCTTTTTCAGGGGTGTGCTTTTTCCATTTATGCAGCTTGTTTTAATGAAGCAGGAACTCAGAAGTGCTGTTGTTGAACTTGCTTTACTTTACCCTTCTTGGGAAAATTGAGTTTTCATACTTAATCACTAAAACATGACAGAAAATATCTGAACCATGTACCACCTATTTTCCTTTCATCTAAATTCATTCATTAGCTTCCTTATATTAAAAGCCTCTAAGACACAATTAACCCTTTTTTAATACTGTGAAACTTAAAACAATCGGTAAAACTCATTAAAGCAGAGAAACTTACTTTCAAAAGCAGTTTAATATTAAGATTTTCCTGATTTCTTTTCTTATGAATAGAGTAGAATACTAAGGGTATGGCCATCACAGTTCCAGTCATAACTGGCTATTCAAGTAATTAATGATAATTGGTTGCTTTGCGTTGCAGAACTGTGCTTCGTGATAGAAGATCCTTTGATGAAATAATTTTCTATAATGGAATGTTTTCTTCTGAGTATGCATCATATAATAATGATACTGTCAGCAAGTCCTTTTTGTCCAGTAAGAAGAAAATATAATTGAAGATAAAAAAGCATTACCTAAAGTCTCACTTGTTTCTCCCTCTTTACATTCTTCTTATATTGTGAATTGTGCTATTCCCTCAAGAAAGCAAACATCTGCTTAGGTTTTCTGATTTACCAAGTTGTTTTTGTTTTTAACATCCTTTAAAATGCACAAACATGCAGTTAATTGTATTTTCAGTACTAACTTCATTGCTCTTGTGTTAACATACATGAAGGTTGAATTTCATCTCAATTTTAAAAAAATGTAATTTGCTGTGATTCTGTTAGTTGCCTTGTCTGTTCCTGGCATTATATAAACAATCTTAGAATGGAGAAATTGATTAGAATTGCCAATATTCAGAATAACTTTCCAAGCTTATAGGCAACGTTGCTTTCATTCTGCGTGTTTTTGCAGGATGAAAATGACTAATTGCAAAAACTACCATGAAGTAAAATGGTGACTTTAAAGCAATAAACTGCCTTGGGTTTACAGTAACTGCAATAAAATTATCGTGAAGCAGTGTCAAAGTGTTGATTTATCTGTACTACTAATATTAGAAGTAATGAAATTGCAGGATTTACAGGTATGGTTATAGCATTTGCTATCTGTTTTATTATTCAACTCAACAGGTATTGTAATGTACAATCATAAGGTATTTCATAATCTAGCTTTTACTGAAGAAGAATATTCATAGGAAAATAGCTCTGATATTTAGCCTTCTGTCACAGAAGTGATCATACTGGATCTTTATATGGGTCATTTGTTGCTGAACTTCTATTTTTATCTTAAAACTATGGCAAAAATAAAACTAGGAAAAGGACGTGCTTTTAATTTTTGTCAACTGTATTTGGTAACTAAATTCAAAGTAGTTGTATTTTCTAAAATATATGACTTGGAAACAAGTGCCTTTTTGAAATATGGGCAGGATGATTTATGTTCTGAAAGTGCTACTTGTTATATACTTAAAAACCATTGGATAACTAGTAGAACAGGATTTTCAGAACTGCTCAGCATCAACCTAATTCTGTCCAGAAGAAACTGAAAAATGAGAGGACTCAGACCCATCCTTAAAAATCTCCATGTGGCTGTGTGATAATATTCTTATCTGCTTCCTCAGTGAAGTTAAGGTAAAATTCCACTTAAAATTATACACCCAGTGAGAAATGTGATAAAAACCTATGTATAGGCAGATGTGAATGCTGTAATCTGCCAGGAGAGAGAGACAAAAATTTGGAAAAAAATTATTTAAAGGTAAAATGTATTTGGATACATATTTTTGTAGAGATAGGACAGCATTATGAATGGGAAAGTATAACATGAATTGCCATTGCAGGCAATGTAGACATTTTAAGAAATAAAAAAGTTATAAAAATGTATTACTGATTTGTGCCTTATTAATAAAACACCCTAATTCTAATCAACCATGCAATTATTTCTAACAATCTTTTCAGCTTAGCTGGTATGACTCCAGAATGCAAAGCTTTCTCAACCACAATGATTTGCTGTAGCTACTTATCAGTACATTGAAAAAAATACTGTGATTCTTTATAAAGCTGTCCTTATCCTTCTTCTTAAGGTATGGGATGCTGTAGATACAGGCTGCTGTTTAAAAACATACTCCTGTCACTCCTGTGCTGTTCGAGCTGCCCAGTGGTCGTCTTGTGGAAGAAGGATCCTCAGTGGGGGCTTTGATTCCACACTGCATTTAACAGATATAGAAACAGGTAAAGGTCATGAAGGGTGCATTATAGCCCTGTCTTTATTGTGTACAGATAACTTGGGATCTTGTTAGCCTTATTCTTTCTTATATAGATGAAATCTGTACATGAAAGTCAGAGTTCTTGAAGCATGTCCTTACTTTAAAAAATATATATCGGCAATTAAGAGTAGTTGGAGAAATTTGAGAAAACTGGAATATCTTTAACTTCATGATCACATATAATTTCTGTTGTCAGATACCACGCAGATGAACAGAATGAAATGTTTATTTTTTATGGTCTGTCATGGTCATTTATTAAAGTGTTTGAGGAGCCTCTTAAAGCTGCCTTCAGTTACATTTATACATATGGTTAATTGAAATATAGGCTTGTATCTCATTCTCAATTGGGTTGGTTTTAAATTTGTGCCTAAAGTTAATTGGGTGTTTGTTTATTTTTGTTTGTTTGTTTTATTTTTGTTTTTTTCTGAACAGAACCTTAATTAGGAGTATAGAAACTTAAATTCTAGTATGAAACCTTGAGACTGAACTTGGGTTGCTTTGATGCATTTGCGGATTTGATTTGGGATTTGATTGTTGTAACCTTAACAAAACTAATTTCCTGGATGCTGTCTCTTCTTTTCTCTTTCACAAACTGAAGTGCTTCTGTCAGCTATATTTCTTCTCTCCTTTGTATATGTTACCAGCATTCATACAGCAGTGTTCACTGGGGCTGTGCATAATAGGACATCTGTGTGTGTGTGTGTAAATGAATTAGGTCCAAAATAGGACTCTGTCAAGGGAAGAAATGCCATTTTATGTTTTTCACTTAATTTATTTTTAAGTGTTTAACTCCTACAAAGGTGCAATATTTCTTGTAAGACTACAGTAAAAATTCTTACAAAAATTACCAGCAGGTTTTGTCTAAGAGGATTTTCTCTTACATAAAAGCAAGGACTACATTGTATGTGAATATCTGGAGAGCAGAAATCCTATTCAGATGAACTGGGAAAGTGGCCAAGGAAATTTGTGAATATTGTTCACATGAGAAAAATATTCTTTTCCTTGCTCTAAGAATTTATTTTTCTCAACAATTGTTGTACCAGAAGTATTTAAATTCAGTGATGGCTGAAAGGGAGCTGTTGTAGTGTGGGAATGTAAAATATGTTATGGAATACTGATGTTCTGAGAATATTCAGGTTTTTTAATGAGAAAAGAGGTTTATATATCTGATGTACTAGTACATGAGGTTAATATATCAAGTCATTAATTTGTTAGACTTCTTGTCTTTTTTTTATTTTCAGTCTCAATACAGCAACCTTTCTAGTCTCATATATAACTGAATTTTACTAATCCAAGTGGATTTACTTTTGTCTGTAATGCTTACAAATTCTAAACAGAATGACTGTCTTTTTAATGGGATTTATAGCAGTAGTATAGATTTTTTGTGTCTGAGTCATTTGAAGGGACTACTGTGGGAAAAATCTCATTTCATTAAATCATAGCACAAATTTCAAAGATACGTAATTTAAATCATATACTTTAATGTCTAACATCTCTTTGACTTAACTATTCAGTAATGGGATAGTAATCTGGATTAAGTTGATTGTAGTAGTTCATTTATACTGCTCTAGGAAGTGACAACAGTAACAAGACATATTTACTGCATTTCAAAGCAGATAAGTTTATAAATGGTTCTTTCCTTATTGATGGGTGAGTTACGTAGTGTTTGTAGCTTCTTAAATAAACTATATGTATAAAATGAATGCTTATATCCTTGGAAATGCCAGATATTCATTATTGCCTTATATAAAGAACACAGGAACCCTTGTACTTTCTCTGAACTGCAGTTGTCATGTTGATGTTTGGACCTGACTTTCAGTGATACACACCTCATTTGGAAAAGTGTAATATGAGTGATCAGAATTTTATTTTGATTTCCTACGCATGCAAGGCAATTTCTGGGTTCCTTCCCTGTTGTAAAGTTACTCTTCTTTTCATGAATTTCAGTCAGTTCCTTTCAGAGAAACAGGGTGAGCAATTTGCCTCTGGAATCCAAATCAATTTGATATAAAAAGCCTCATTTCCATTTGAAAAACACTAAGGCAGCTATAAGATTTTGATTTACATTAGTTCACTGAATCATTCATTCTTCCTCACTCTTCATCAGTGCTGAGATGATTTCTTCTTTGATTAACTTCAGATAGATGTTAGAACTGCTCTTTCACAGAGGATTTTCAGATACCTTTTTGGACTTCAGTCTTAATTACTTTCCATTGCTGGTCTGAACTAACTACTAGCATGTTTAAATGCAGTAAACGCATGCCAACGGGATTTTATAAATAATAATGCTCTCTTTAAGGTTCTGTGCTCTTGTATATTTTGTTCTGGTTCAACACTTTTCCTGTGTTGTTTGCTAAAATCTAATCCTTCTTATCTTTGTTTTCAGTGCAAATTTTATATATTACATCTGTGATATAAAAATTGTTACATGTCCTTCACTAAAAGAAACCTAATGGTCTGAAGAGAATTATTTTAAAAGCTTAGGAAAGGTTGCAAATACAGCTAAGTACGTGCATGGTATTGAGCTGCTCAGGTGCCTTTTTGTTTTTTTTTTTTTGTAATTTTCTCTTGGTTTTCTTTAGGAACATAGTTTCTGCCCTATTAAATCTAAATTGTTGTCTGGCTAATTGTTACGGGTCTGATGAGAGCTAGTTATGACATTCCTCTAAGGAATGTGCCAGCATAGTTTTAACGAACAGTGCTGGAATAAATTCCCCAGGAAATTTTGTTTCTAAGACTGGACTTCAGTTTGAGTATCCCTTGTCCTAAATTATTGCATTTTCTGGAGTGATTTTTTTTAATCTCTATAATCTGAACAACATCAGAATAGAAGCAAACACTGAAATCCCATTAATCGTGAAATCGTGAATTTTTGTCATTGGCTTAGAAATCCTGATATAAGGATAGAAAACACATCCTGAAATCCTGTCCTGCAGTTTTACACCATCAGACCTCCTGCCCTTGTCATGCGTATTTAATGAAAGCTCTTATGTGTAAGAATATCTAAGATGCTGCAAGCAAAAAACAGTGGGCTGATAGGAGTCTCATGAAGTTCAAAAAGGACAAATGCAAAGTCCTGCATCTGGAATGGAGTAATCCTGTGCAACAGAACAGGCTGGTGATGAACTGGCTAGCAAGCAGCTTTGCAGAAAAATACCTGGGAGTTGTGGTGCTGAATATGAATCAGCACTGCTCTCTTGCAGCAAAGGACGACTACTTCATTCCAGGCCAAATTAGGAAGTATTTACCTAGGACACAGAGAAAATGATGCCAGGCTCTTCTCAGAGATGTGCAATGAAAGGATAAAAGGCAAAGGACAAATATAGAAACACAAAAACTTGTTGGCTCAACTCAAGGGTCATCAAACACTAAACCAGGCTGTTAAGAGAAGCTGTGGACTTCAATCCAACTTGCTACAGCTGGACCTAATTCAAATAGGGATTTGGATTAGATGAGTCCAACCTGCATGATATTATGAAGAAGAATTCAAGTTAATGAGGTACAAGGAGTTTTCTTGTCCTGGTTTGGTTGAAAATAGATGCTGTGCAAGTCTTTTTTTAAACTCAATTTTTGTAGATTGTCATTTATTATCTTCAATGGTCCTAGTACCAGGATGTCAAGATAAGACTCTCCACAAACATGGTTTTATTAAAAGCCATTGTAAACATTCAGAATTATGGGTCTGATCCAAAATATGCATAAAATGTTTAAGGAACTCAAGGTTATTCATGAGTCATTCACATAAGTGGTTCTGTGGTTGCACTTTGCACGAAGCAAGTTCAGTACTGCAATATGGAGTTTCATAAATATTGGTAGATCCAAAAACTGCAGATGTGCTGCCTGGTGTGAGTTAATATTTTTTTTTAATTGTTCTATTTTATATACATTATTTCTTTATAAAAATAAAGCCTTTTGAATGGTTTCATGAATGTGATAATAATGCAGCAGTCTCAGACTCTCTGGTTTTGTTCATCTTTAATAACACCACACTCACAGTCATTTTCTACTATTGATAGTCCAGACACTTCATTATTTACAGAGTAGTAAATAGAGTTATATTCAGAGAGCACTGAAAAAAATTCCTTTTAAAACAATTCTAGGTCAAGTACATTTGACATTTACCTTCTGCTATGTCCAGATGTAATGGAGATGCTCTACCAACTTTAGAAGGGTAATTGTATTTTTAAAATTTATTTATAACTATTTTATTTTTGGAATGTATGTTTTATTCATCAGTGGATTTTTCATTAGTCACAAATGAATTGGTATAATAGCATAGGCAGAACATTGGCTGGGTTGTTACTATTTGCATATTGTAGATACTTTTCATTTCTTTAATATTATGACAGAGGGAATGTTCCAAGAAATTTTGGCACATTTCCTACGTTACCAAATGCTGCAGTTGTATTTTAGTTCGTGAACTGAGCTTGATTTCAACTATCATTTCCGCAGAGTTATAATGGGAGAGAGAGTTTCTTAATGGAACATTTTGTACCTCCAAGAGGATGGTTCTAATTTTCTTTTCTATATATTTTTTTCTATTCTAATTTGGTAGTCCTATAGATATAGCAATATAATTGTATTTTTCACGTAGGAGTTTTAGTTCTCATACCTAAACATTACTTCAGGAGAGCTGTGACTTTCTTCTGTTCCTCCCTTTCTCTCGCACTACTATTTAGATAGTATGTTTTAAAATGCAGTAAAGTTTAATATGATACCTCAGAAGAAAACCCAGTTGATTGATATTTTTTTGTTTGCTAGTTTGTTTTATTTTTTTCTTCTTTTGAGTGCATGCAAGCACCCTTGATACGAGGTCAGATGTTTCCCCCAAGATTCAGCAGTTTTATGAAATATGTTGAATATAGTTTAGAGGTCACTCTCCAGCTAGGAGATATCAGCATTTTGCTTTTTATACTCACTGATATGAAGTCTTTGCAAAAAGAAGAGAGAAAAGTATTTATTTTGGGGACATTTTAAAGATTAAAAGATAAAACGATTTATTATTTCAAGCATCTTTGCATGCTGTGAACTTGTGAATATGTAGGGGAAAAAATTAGGAAAAACATGTAGTTAATATAACTTTGATTCTTGAAAAAATAATAAAGCCATTTGTGAGCACATCAAGACAGTGAATGGAGATGTAACAGCCAGCACTGATTTGCTGAGAACAAATTATATCTGATCAATCTAATGTTTTTTCTTACTATTGTGCATGAGAGAGACTGTGACTGTAATGAAATTTTTTTGTATATATTGTCTTATGTCTTTTTGTAAACACAGTAGGGAAATCCGTTCTGCTTAGCAAGATTACTCTCGTGTCCTCGTAAGTCTCAGACTTCACTTTTCTTCACAGATTAGAGTAAGAAAGTAAATGTTTTTGGGTTATGCAGGTAGGTGTGTGAACCTGAGGACCACTAAAAACAGGTACAGAAGCATCCTGTGCTTGGTAACTGTGCTGATGTTCTGTGAAAAATTCACAATGTTAAATAGCCTTTAAAACATCTGATTTCACAGTTGAGCAGTTTCACAGTAGGCTGCTACATAAAAATGCAGAAACAAACATTCAGTGTATTTTTAAGATTTTTTTCCATCCTGTGTATGTGCGTGGTGAGCCTTTAGTGCATGAAGAATTGAATTAAAGCCTTTAAAGACTATAAAACACACTGCAAAAATATAGGATATATTGTTACTGAAATTAAAGATTGAGAGGAAAATTTGCTTTCTGCTTTGGAATAACAGCCTCTTGTACAAGAAAATGATATGTGGTATGGATTTTCCTTCAATTAGCCAAAGAGATTTTCAGAAGACATAATTTTCTAGGCTATGAGTTGGTTGAATCTTTGTAATGCTGCCTATAGGAATGAAAATGTGATAAATATATACACAATAAGGGTATATACAATCTTGCTGAATTACACCTTTGTTATGGATAAGGGAGTCTTCTGCTCAAAGGCCACCTTTTGCAGTATATAAAATAAGGCCCCCCAAAGTTGAATATTTGATGTTAATAAACTGAATAATTGTAAAAAAAAATACATAACTGTAAATAACCATTTTCAGAAAGGTGTAGGAGGATCTCTAGCAAACACTGTAGCTGGATTTCCTAAGCTGCAGGGATAGTTCCATCATAACAGGGAAAGCAGCAAATTCTGCTCATAGTAGTATAACGCACTAAATAAAATTTGTACAGAAAAGTGCTAAGAGTTGAACCCATTCTTTCAAATTACTGAATGGCATGAGCTAATTTGCTCCGTCATCATCTGCAGTGATCTGTTCCACCTCTCGGATATTTTTCCTAAATTTCTGAAGTTCTGCAAGTGTATTGTGCTTAAATTTTAAATCTGGCAATAGGAGGGTTTCCTTTCTCTAACGTTGTGATCCTCCCCTTTTGAGTATGTTTACTGCTGCTTAGCTCATCTACATTCCAGTCTTGCTTCTCTTCTGTGACATGGCAGTAAAATGAAATTAATGTATACATCTAATAATGTCAAACTCTTCAGAACCCTGTACTCAGTTTCCAAAAAGAGATATTTGATTGAATTTCACTTTGGGGAGTGAGAGGACAAGAGAGAGAGTTGTATTTCAAAGTACTAATTGGAGAGCCTGAGTGTGTAAGATTAATGATTAATATCTGCATTAAATGGTAAGGTAGCAGCTTAAAATAGGAAAAAGGAGGACATAAAGAGTATAGAGGTGAATAAGATTCTAGTTGTTTGCATTTATTTTATTTATTATTACACTGTAATGTAGAATTCATAACGCTGAGATCATTATGTTTTAATAATATTAGTGACTGTCACTGAGAGCTTTGGGATAAATGACAGCCTCTAGAAGACAAGAAAAGGGCAAATACAGTGCCCATTTCTCTTTAAAACAGAGTGAGACAGAGTAGGAAATAGGAGCATTTTAGTTTCTGGAGAAAGTATCAGGTGAATGATTGAATTATTTGGAAGCAACTGGGGAAAAGTTGACTAATGACAAATTATGTTAAATCAATCTTTCTGTGGAAAAGGTAGCAGCTTATAGTTAGTAGATGAAACGCATCTTGAATTTAATGCACATCTTTTTGGTTGGTTTTCTTGTGTCTTAGGCTGGAGAACATGAATACACATTATAGAAAAAGCAATTTTCAGAAGTCTTGTGTAGGTAAAAACAAAGTAAAGGCAGTGTTCGTCAAAAGGTTAAAAGATGAGTTCCACTGGATCAGTTATGTATGCGTCTAATGCCGTTTGGACAACACACTTTGTGGAGAACAGTGGTCACTTGATGTGTCCTTTATTAAGTTGTGTGACAGGATTAGTACAGATAGGCTGCATTTATGCTTATTTCTGGCTGTAGTCCCATCGAAAACTTGTTGATTATACTCCTGGAGTTTTTATTAAGCTGGGAACTAGTAGGAACCAAATTCCTTTGGGAGCAAAATGCTATTAAACTGACTAGTGAGCCTCCATGGGGAAATTCAGTATTTTCTCAAGTGCTGTGGATGAGAGTGGCTTTTCTAAAGCCCCCAGAAATGACACCTCATAGTGGTGTACATGAGAGCAATATCTTGTTGTTTCTATAACTGATGATTTTAATACTTTCTTCTTTCCCTGTGGAGTCTTTTTTTTCCCCTTTAGCTGTTGGGTAACTGAAAGCTCCCATGGCAAGAGATGATCACTGTTAGATATGACTTGTTGAGAGAACCTCTGCTGCCCTTATGACTTCTTTTCTCATTTTGGGGAAGAAACTTATGGACTAAATGAAGTGTTTCACTTAGTAGTGACAGAGCAACTCTTTAGATCTTGCATGGGCAATCAGTGGAGAATCATTTTTTTAAAGGACAAAAATCTCCTACAAATACCAGTACTCACATACAAAAACACTCACCTCTGCCTTGCCGCTGTTAGCTTGATGAGCACATGAGATGAAGTAAAATCTTTATCTTCTCATCTTTAAACTGAATAAATAAATAATTTGACAAGTTTTAGCCTCTTGACTGCGTAAACTGAGTTCTGCAGATGGAGAAAATGGAACTGGTGATAAAGTAAAATAAATTGACCCCAGATCATGAAATAAGCATAAAAAATCTATATGAATGATTTTCAGTATTGTACACCTAACAGTAAGTATTTACATCTGTCAGTAATGTTTTTAGCTGAAAGTATTTTCTGTTGTTTAAGAAAGCCTATTTTAAGACACCCATCACTTGCAAAAAATGTTGATTAAAGTATATTTTGAGAAGCTTTTGTCATAGTATTTTAAAGGATTTTTTCTTTTTTTTTTTTTACTTCTGTACCTCATGTGGCTTAAAGCAGTAACTTTATTTAATGTAGATCTTTAAATGTGATATGTAGAATATAAATCACAGTTGATATTGTGAAAATGAGCAGATATATTTATCTTGGTCCCTGCTGCCGTTCCAAAAATTTATTTCAGTGAGTGTACATTAATATAATGAATTTGTTAGGATGAAAGGAAGCAGTGGACTGTGGAAAAGTTCTAGCCGAATTCTACTGCCTTCAAAAGTGTTGACAATCCATTTGATACCAACCACAGGATCCTGTGGAGATTAGTGTACACAATTAAATGTTGCGAACAGTGTATCCATGGGAACAGCCTTCATATGATGGTATGCAAATTATTTCCTACTTTCGTGATGAAGTTTCAGTCCTACCTTTACACAAAGATAAGTAAACAACTCAAGAATTGTAATATAGATTGAGATGTGGTATTCTGTACAGGCAATGTTTTGTTCTAGTTATTTTTGTCTCACTGAAACAAAGACTGTCATCTCTGTAAGGAAACATTCAGCCATTGGATTTGTAGATTTATTCCTGCATGTTGTCTGAACTGGGACCTTGGTGGAACTCCTCTCCTTAGTGTGGGAAACCACTCGTTCTCTCCTTTCAGTAGGAAGCAGTCAGTGGTGCAGAGGCCCATAAGCAAGAGCCGTCTCATGTGGACAAAAATTAGTGAGTTGTCTTCTATTATCATTAAGTTAGAGTAGCCCCAGATACTTGAAATGTGTTAATATAAGCATGTTCACCTTTGACAACCTTGATAACTTTCAAACTAAATCGAAATGAATAACATATTTCATTTTCTGCTCAAATTTTAATCTCCGCTTTTCACTTTATTTTAGGGAAGCAGATATTTAGCAGCAAAACAGAGTTTAGGATCAGTGCGCTCAAGTTTCACCCTACAGAGTCAAATATTTTCCTTTGTGGAGGGTTCAGCCCAGAAGTTAAAGCTTGGGATATAAGGACTTCTAAGGTAAAGGAAATCTTTTTTCTGTTTTAGAATGTTTCCTAGTCTGTGTGTGCTGTGTTTTACTAAGCTGCTAGATGTACTGTAATGTAATATTATTCTGAAGTATTTTGGGTTTGCCATTGATTGCATTCCTATTTGTTGATGTGAACCTCTGTAATGTTTTTTTAGTGCTAAGAGGAATATTGTACACAAAAATACTATTTTTTTCTGTCTGTAGATATAAGAAATCTAATTGAATTAAACAAAGCCAATAGCTCACTTCAGGATTGTGAAAGGCAGTTGTGTACTAGGAAGCAGTAGAGATAACTTGCTCTTCAAGCTGTTGCATGTGGGTCAGGATGTGTGTTTCTGTGCCTTGTGTGTAGAAGCCTGGAGTACTTTTTGCATTCATGAAGGGCCACAGTGCTGTGTATAGCCTCTGCTTTTACTTTATCATGAACTGTGAAGAACAATGTGCTCCCAGCTGCCATTCAGAGCTCAGGGAAGACCAGAACTGTACTCTGCCAGGGGGAAGCGTAAGGTAAACTGACATCCTCAGGCATGGAACAGTTCAGAGAGAAGCAGTGACTGCAAAGTGAGTAGTTCCTTGTTTTCCTTTGAATTTGTATGTGGGTGGAACCTACTCATTGTAGTTAGCCATCTGTTTGCTCTTGAGGATGGCGGAAGGGATCTGAAAAAGATAAGATAGCGTATCAATAGTGCTTTCCTGTGGCACCAGACAAGGTATCAAACAGTATTTTATTCCAAGTAATGAAGACAATAAATGTGTTTGTCTCCTAAAGCAGCTCTTTCCTTTCAGATTTTAAATTCTGATGGTGCCTCAACTCAACCACAACCAAAGTGTCAACTGATATGTCTGGCAAACCTAATTGTAATTCACATCTGCATAAACATAGATTCACAAAATGTTTCCTTGTGGACAGGAGCAGGTATGGAACAGCTCCTGCTTTTCAACCTGGACAGAGGCTGCAAAGCAGCACACACATCCCAGGCTTTGATTGCCAAATATTGTCAACCACCTTAGCCTGATGTTCTGCTGAATGTGCCTCCTACAGAAATATATGCGTCTCTGTGGTGCAGTACTGGAGTTGGCTGATTGACAAAGGGTGGTTTGACTGTATTGGAAAGTTTTCTTGGTGAAACTGTTCCTGAAAACTGGCAGTAGAGAGGAAACACGTGTCCTTCACCAATGAACGGTGTAACTGGAACAGGGAGATGGCAAGTAGAGAGGTGTAGACATAGTTTACATGAGGCATTATACCAGCAAGGAGCAGACAAATGTGTTGAGATGGAGGGTCAGTAGCAGATGGATGTGCAATTTGTGAGGTACTGGCCTTTGTAAAAGGCATTGTAAGGCAGCAAAGGAGCAAGGCCATATTGATAAACTGTAGACTTTAACAGCTAACCTGTTCATATCTTCTGTAGTTCTGACTACCAGTAGCCTGGTTTGAGATGATGTTTTGACATAGTCATCATCATGGCTAGGCTTCGTGAACGAAGATTTGGGAAGGGCTCTACCCACGTTTGTTACAAACACGCTGGTGGCTAAAAAGGCCAATATGAGATAGACATGTCCGGTTGCAAAAGGCACAACAGAAAGACTCCTTAGGTGGTATATTCTGCAAGACACAATTCTTTCTGCGTTGTCTTTTCTCCTCAAGAGTGATCCTGCGTGCTTTCTCAAAAGCATCAGCAGCGTTAAAGATAGCGTGTCTCCAGACCTCCCGATTGGAGGCCAGCGTAGACCAGTTATGTTTACGTTTAGCCCTGTAAGGCCATCCATCCAAGAGAAGGTTACTCTAATTAAACCTATGTCCTGAGGACCTCACTACCACCGTCCAAGCTTGCTCAGCCCTGGCAGATGAACCTTGGGATAAAAGGGTGGGTTCAGTTCTGCGCAGACTGCATCTCACCTAAAAAATCCACTGCGCAGGCTCGAAGGTTTTCTACCCACATTTGCAAAGCCCTGTAGCCATGGGCGAGGGTCGAAACGGCATGTGAAAGGTGCTCTGGAAGCCGCAGACCCAACCCTGCATGCAGGCGGTTCAGGGCATTGGTCATTAGAGACTGACTGGAGATGACAGTCTCGTTCGGCAGCATCCTGAATGACCAAGCAGGCTTTTTCAAGGAGAACACTGCTTGCTCCACTCGGAGAGGGGCCTAGGAAAGGAGGCCTAACCAAAGCTCATCTCCCCCTTCACCCGGTTGGTTAACCGCAGGCCAACGGGCATCTTCTTCCAATGTGGTCGCACAAAGATCAAAAGACAAAGGCCCACACTTACCTCCAAAGGTGTACCTAAATTAACTCTAGCATGTTGGAACATCAGAACCATGCTTGATTCTGTGGATAGCGGACGTCCTGAGCGTTGCTCTATCTTAATTGCCCACGAACTATCACATCTCAACATCGACATTGCTGCTCTCAGTGAAATCCGTCTTCACGAGGAAGGCAGCCTTAGAGAACATGGTACCAGTTACACACTCTTTTGGTCAGGTAAACCCAGAACCAAAAGGCATCTTTCAGGAGTTGGCTTCACAATCAAAAACTCTATTGTTCCTAAACTCGAAAAACTGCCAACAGGTCACTCTGACCACATTATCTCCCTACGCTTTCCACTACACAAGCAACATGTTGTCCTCTTTAGTATATATATCCCAACTCTCCAAGCTGACCCTGCTGAAAAAGATAAATTTTACACCGACGTGCGCCGCCTTACTCAAAAGGTTTCTGCAGATGATAAGATCATTATCCTTGGTGATTTCAATGCCAGAGTAGGAAAGAACTTTTGATATAGTAACTTTTGTGTAAACTACATATCTGTCAAAATTGCAGAGGAAAACTGCACTTTTCGGTATGTTACCACTGCACAGGTTTAAGAAACAATAGTTATGCTTGGGATCACGTTTGTGTGGGTTACAGGGGATGACATAAACTGTAGGTGTCTGTATGCATAGCCAGTAGTGAACACTTCAGGTGAAAACATCAGTGATTCATTTCCAGAGGACAAACAAAACCAGTAAAAATCATTTATGTCTATGTAGAAGGAGAACCTGAATACTTAGCATTTTATTAATTTGATTATACATTAAGTCTAAAACATCTCTCATGTTTTCTACTAGTTAGGGAGTGTATTATCTTTATGTTATTTAAACAGTATTTTATTGTATCTTTGTGCTTTACTGCCCAACTTTGTCTTTTTTTGACCCCTTGCTTGAGGGCCTGTTTGTGATGTCTTTTTCAGATGGGTACAGTGGTGTATTTCTGTTTTCATGGGCCATTCCCTTTTCACTTTTAATACCTTTGCCAAAGTAGATGGTAGTTGTGATTGTTGTATTATGAATGTTTCTCTTCGAGTGACAGTACTGCTGTTATGTGCAGTATGTCACAACATTGCATGCTGTGGCATCCTTTGATCCCATTTTACAACGTGATTTCTCAAAAGGAAGTGTGTTCCATGCCCAGGATGGTATATACAGCAAAAAGGAGACTAGCAGAATAATGTGTTTGTGTCTTTATGACTGACCATATGCCCACCTTTGCAATGCTGAAGATCCAGGTCTCCTTGAAGAGCTGTTGATCCCTGGGAATTGCACAGTGTTTGTACCTGCAGGACACTCCAACGCTTAGAAATATTATGTGTAACTGTAACTGTATTTCTGTGAGCTGATGCTAATGAAGAGACAAGGGAAACATCCCAATGTTATTACTACCAAATAATTTACTTTTTGAGAGAGTAAAGAAGTGAATGAATATGTATTCTGACCAGTAAAATAGGAAAAGTTTTAGACCGGGTAAAACAAAAATGCCAGCCTGTTTCTTTTGTCTAGGTCCTGTACTGGGCTCTCTCTGGAAGTTTTAGAAATTATAACCTACTTTGTTCATTAGGAAACAATTATAGTTTTTTAGAACTTCACCACTTGGAAAACTAGCCAATTAAGTAGTGCATGAGGAATATTAATTTTAACAACCAGCAGTGTCTAATCACCTTAGAAACTGGAAGACTTGGTAACAGATATTGATCCTTTTTTTAGATGTTTTATATGTTTGCTCATTTAAAAACCATAAATTTTTATGTACTGTGATTGTCTAAAGCAGCAGTGTGGTTCACTCTCTTACTCTGAAACATTTCTAAAAGGGGGAGAGAGCTTCTATTATCCTTTTATTACTTTTTATCCCTCCATCTAAGGTAGCTGTAGCTCAGTGATAGACTGTTAGTCACCTAGATTTGTATTGGTTTTAAAATTTGAAGAACTCTGTGTGTGTACTGAGTGGATGTGGAAGGTCATAGATGAGTGGAGAAAAGGGGTAAAATATCAAACTCCTATCTGATTTTTTATGGCTGCTTGTTGCAGAGTGGTGAGTATCACCTATACACCATTGCTGCAAAATAATGTAGTTACATTTCAAACTCTCAGCCATAGAACCCTATGTTGGTTAGATATGAATTATCAGCATCATCAGTATGTCCCGTCTGCTTCTCCCTAGTGTGGGGATTTCAATGAGTTTTTCAGGTGTTCCTGCTTTCAGCTTGTATTGTTATCTTTATTCACATATCTTTTCTATCTTACACTGTTATAGCCATAGTTAAGACTAGATAGTGTCCTGGCCAATATTTTGAAATTTATCCTGTCCCAACAAGTACAATTTGCTCTTAGCTGAAATAGATGTCTGAGGCTTCTTGCCGCTTTGTTTCAATTTTGATGCAAACAACCTTTATATCTTTCAAGTGCTTTCATCCTAATTCATAACAAGATTTTCCTGTTTTGCCTGTTCTTTCAAGTGTGTTATCCTGTCATTCAGCTTGGAATGATGTGTGGGTGAACTAATGATTCTTTTTGTTCCCATCATCATACTCCTGATAGCCTTTTCAGGCTTTGCAGCATCTTTTATCAATAGAGTGAGTGCCCTAAATCAGGAATCTGAATCTTGTTACTCATTGCACATTGAAAACTCAATTTCAGTATTGGCTGATAATTCAATTTCAGGGGTCATTCTTTAGGAT